GTTGCCGGCGGCGTCAGGTAATCCCTGAAGATATCCTGACGCGGATACCAGCTGCAGAAGATCTGGCCTCAGGATCCTCGCTGGCCTCGTCCTCGTTCTTCACCTCCTTGCTGTTTCTTGCCTTCTTTCTCTCTTTCTTCTCTTCTTTGCTGCTCCTCGCCTTCTTCTTCTTCTCTTTCTTTTCTTCCTTTTCTTCCTTCTCACCGCGGTCTTCTGGTGGACTCCGCTTCTCTTTCTTCACACCGCGGCCTCCTGGTGTACTCCGCGACCTTGAACGCGAGGAAGCCTCCGCCTCGGGCGGAGGGGGGGCGCGAGGCTCGCGAAGAACAGCTCCCCGATCACGCTGGCGGTCGTCCCGACGATCTCGATGATGATCTTCACGCTGCTTGGTGTCACGACTCCCGCCTTCACCGCGCCGATCGTCACGGGGCTTGGTATCACGATTGCCGCCCATCACGATCTTGAATATCGTTGCCGTGATCTCGTCGAGATCCACCTCAGCCGCCGTACAAGGCCTCGATGTGGTCAGCTGCAGGCGCACGAGCCGACCCTGGACGAAGTCGAGGCTCTCGAAGCGGCCTAGCTTGAAGAAGATAGGCTTCTTGTTCGTCACGCGCTCCACGATGTGATGGACCGTGGCAAGGTCAGGAAACTCCAACTCCACGCTGTGCCCCTTTGCGTGGGTGTTGGCCAGAATGCGATGGCAACGCACGCATGCATCCTCGTCCCCCTGATCCCCCCCGCGCCTGGCACGGGCGCGCGCGCGTTCATCACTGCTCTGTGCGGCCCCTGGGCCGTCGTCGGCGTCCTGGCGTAGGCTCGGCGCAGGCATGCTTTTGGGCCTGGGGTCTCTGAATGCCATCCGCTCATTCGCCGTGCTTGTCCGTCGCCGTCCACTGGAGACCCTCTGGGCCAGCTAACCGATGGGGGCAGGCGCCATGGGAGGTCGCCCCACGACGCTCCTCGCACTGCCTGCCATTGCCAACCCCAGGGACGTTCGGTCCAATGCACCTGCCTCAGGCGCCGATGGTGCCCGCGCGCCACTCAGGAGGTCCGCTGTCGGGTGCCGACGCTGGATGCCAATTTCTTCAGCCACAATCTTGTTGCTCGGGGCTCTCGCGCCTTCGCAACTATTAACCTTTGGGGCACTCGGGGTCGCCACGCACATGCTCCCAGTGGCCAGGCTGATCGCAGTCAGCACACCGGCTGTTAGCCTTGCGCTGGTCTGTCGGCTTCCGACCAGCCTGGAAGGAGCCGCTAGCGTTGATCTTCTTGGGGTCCCGCTGCCGAGGAGCAACGAACCCGCGCTTCTGACGCTGTACCGCCGTCTTCTGCTTGGCCCTCCAGCCGGCCAAGAACGCTTCCTGAAGATCCTCCGGTGCCTCGTACCCCTCGTCGTCAGGCCCGTCGTTGTCCGACACCAGCTCCTCGTCGACCTCAGCGCCGTCCTCGAAGAGGGTGCCCTCGGCCCCTCCATGGTCTCCATCGTCCTGGTCGTCTGCTTCATCTTCGTCATGATGCGCCTCCTCGAGGTCGCCGTGGTGTTCATCGTAGTCTTCGCCGTTCTCTACCTCGTGTACGTGCTGGCCAGGGCGTCCTCGCAGCACGCATGGCCTACGAGCCATGGGAGGGTGCGGATGGCGACCGCCCGAACTCCCAGAGGAGCGCCCGTGCTCACGCTGCGCCGCAAACGGCGAGCGGCGAGGGAGCACTGAGCGCTTCTCGGTGTCGTGCACCTTCGAATAGGCTGCCTTCAGCACAACCTCCATCCGCTTCGAGTCGTAGATGCCGCCACAGTTGAAGAGCACCTGCGCTCGCTCCTTCTGCGACAGTCCAGCGCCACGAAGCATCTTGCTTGCCAATGCGCGATCGCTGATCGCTGATGTGGGATCCTCGAGCTGCAACTCCATGCGCTTCTTGCGCAGGTACGTGGTCCAATCCATGATCGGCTGCCCAGCTCGACGGTGTGCTCGCTCCCAATCCTGATGCACCTGATCGAGGCGCTCGTGATCCATCTTCTCGAAGGCGTCGTCGTAGATAGCAAAGATGGTCTCGAGCGTCTCCTCGCGTCGGAGGTCCGACGCGTCAAGCACCTCGATGAGCTCTTTGGCTCGACCTGTCACTTGACTGTAGATGATCAGGCCCAGCTCCACGTCTGAGAGCTGATTGAGGTTGCGGATGACTTCAACCTCCTTGCGCCACTCTCGGTACTTCTTAGTACTCGTACCGACTCCACCATCGAACTCTGGGAGCCTCACCTGCGACAGCAGTAGACGTGTACGTCTGGGACCGCCGTCGCCACGATCCCGATGCAAGGCCAAGAGTTCCCGCTGGGTCTCGGCCATCACGCGCAGGACTGCATGCAGGTCCGGGGGGCCTGTGCCTGCGGAGGACGCAGCCTCCACGTCTGAGCCGTCGTGGCTGGTGGCCATGGCGGCCCACGCGGGTGGTCACAACCACCGAAGCAGAGCACGCAGTGCGTCCGCTGGAGCTTACTAGCTCCGCTACCAATGTCAGTGCAGTTGTTTTCAGCAAAAGACCGCGCGGCAGTCCAACTGCGGGTGCGTCCCAGGGCCCTAGGACTAGGGCCAAAACAGCGGCGGGCAGCGTGCATGCCACAAAACAAGACAAGCGTGTACAACATACACACATGGTGGCACGGGCGGCAGAGGGGCAGGGGAGTGCACTCTTCACAAATAGAGGGCCAACGCTTGTCAAACTGTTCGCCCCCAAAAGAGGTAACATCCGGCTGCCAGGACAGAAGCGTCCAAGACGCACCAAACGACCAACACACACACACACACACACCGACAGGAAGGGGAAGGAGCCCCTCCAAGGTGGAGGCGGCCAAGGGGTCTGAGCTGGATGGGCCGCGAGACAAACGGTCAAGACGGGACAGCAAATCCGCTCAAACTCTGTCCCTGGACCCCTCCCGGGGCCCATCTGGTTGATTTTCTCACCACACCCTGACTCCGGATCCGCCCTACTTTGGGGAAATTCGTAAGTAGGGCTTGGAATTTCCGCCTTACTTTTCAAGCCCCGCTGATGCCAATTTCCGCCCTACGTTTCTGCTGCTGTTTCCGCCCTGTTTCTGTGGATTTCCGCCCCATTTTATGTCGGGTGCAGCAAGTTCAGCCCTACTTCTTCGGCTCCTTCTAGGTGGAGTTCCGACGCAGTTTTAAGTGGGAAAAGAAGCCAAAGTAGGGCGGATCTGGAGTCAGGGAAGGGGCCTGAGCTGGATGGGCCGCGAGACAAACGGTCAAGACGGGACAGCAAATCCGCTCAAACTCTGCCCCCGGACCCCTCCCGGGGCCCATCTTAGATGCTCATTCTGGGGACCTTCCTGGAGCCACTCGCTCCACTCGTGCGTCGAAGCTGCGTCGAACCTGAGTCGAACCTGAGTCGAACAGGAGTCGAACCTGAGTCGAACCTGAGTCGAACCTGAGTCGAACCTGAGTCGAACTGGAGTCGAACTGGGGTCGAACAGATCCGTTAGGTGGGCTCCAGGAAGGTCCCCGAAACGAGCATCGAACCCATCTGGTTGATTTTCTCACCCCAGACCTGTTCTTCGCGGTCCCCGGTGACCCGAGGCCGGCCCCCCCGAGGCAGAAAAGGGTTCCTGAATTCCTGCTCGAGCTGCAGGCCTCGAACCTTGCCCCCCCCCCCCCCCCCCGTTCCTCCTCCTCCTCCTCCTCCTCCTCCTCCTCCTCCTCCTCCTTCGGCACCAGTGCTGGTCCACCTCGGACCCCCAGCCAGCTCCAGCCTGGGGGGGCCAGGCAGTGGCACCGCCTGGGCAGGGTGGGGCACGCCGGGACGGGGTGCCCCGCTATCCCCATGGGGCACGCGCGCGAGCACCGCCACGTGTCGGGGGGTCCAGGCCCCCCCCCTCTCCCACGCACGATCGTTACCCATCGGTCGGAAGAGGGGAACAAGAAGTGGCATGAAAACATAAAGACTCGGAGGTCCGCGCGAATTTCTAGGATGGGCGCTGGACCCCCCTCCCTGGCGCGCGGAGCGCGCCAGGGGCGGCGCCGGAGGCGCCGCCAGGGGGCCCCAGCGCCGATCCGAGAAATCCGCGCGGACCTCCGAGTTTGTATGTTTATGCCACTTGTTGTTCCCCTACGGAAGAAGTAGGTAGAAACATGAAAGTAGGAAGTCACCGAAAGCAGAGATTGGGTGTCCGCCCAACCCGAGAATGTGAAACTACTCGATCTCCGAAGTAGCAAGGCGCTTGAACAAGATCGGAACCTGGGAATCCACAGCAAATCTGCGTTCAACGACCGATGGGTACCGCTGCCCGCGGTGAGGGGTGGGGTGGCCTGGCCCTGGCAACGACCGTCACGCGCCAGCGCATCAGACAAAACACATTCTTTTGGCGACGCGCGCACGGGGCTGGCGCGAGGGGGGAGACCCTGTCCCCTTAAGAAGGCGAGGGAGGCTCTGAGAATGCATGGGGCTTCCTAGACGCCCTCCTCCTCCTCCTCCTCCTCCTCCTCCTCCTCCTCCTCCTAGAGGCTCACCTCTGTCCTTCTAACAATTTTCTAAGGATGCCCACGCCATCTTGGAAGCCCCCCCCCCTCGCCTCGCGCCAGCCCCTCTCGCGCGCCGCCGACAGCGAACCAGCACAGATACGCCGAGGGACGAGGCCCCACGCTGGCCTCACACGGGGGAGGGAAGCGGGGCGGGGGTCGCGCTTCTTCCGTCGGAGGCAACGGCCTCAAGGCAGCCCAGGACGTGCGCGGGCCACCTGACAAGCCGGGCATTCCTAATGCGTCCTACTGCGGTGCTGCGCCTCAAGAAGTTTCACGTCGGGTCCTCTCATTGCGACAGGGGCAGGTAACTGGGCAAGGACGAGACCGCCGGGAAGCCAACCGATGTCGGTCTACGGCTTCTTCGGGACTCGCTTGCTGGATACGCTGGTGCCTCTCAACCAGTAGTGGATGGTTCAGCAGAGGCGCTCAGCAGAGACGAAAAGGGGTCGCACGCCACGCTGACGCGGCTCAATGACACTTGTCCGGCCCGCTGCCCAGCGGATCTTCCCAGTACCAGTTGGGACTATCTGCGAACTCGCACTTGTAGGGCTCCGTCTCGCCGCACTCGACCACCTCATCTTTTTTGTGCGTTGTCATGAACCTGGCCTGTTGCCCGCAGCGTCTGACGAAGCCAACTCAAGACCAGTGGGAATGAGAAGTCTCGGATTCAGCAGCACACTTGCAGCTCCTCCTCCTCCTCGCCTCCCCCTCACTGCCACGCGGCGTGTTGATTCTCTGAACTCGCACGTGTAGGGCTCTGTCCCCCAAGGCAGCCGAAGCGACGCTGCTTCGAGGGACCCACCTCCCCCGGAGGGGAGAACGACGCGGGAGGTGGGGGTGAGCGGGGGCGAAGAGCGGCACGAGCAGCAAGAGTTAGGCCGGGCACGTCCCCCTACAGGCGGATTTTGAGCGAAACGTGCAACATACTTTGAACAATGCGCAAACATAGTCTAACATAGTCAAAACATCGTCCCCTGATTTTGTTTTGCCTACTTTTCGATCGTCCTCCTGTAGAAGGACACGCCCGACTTAAGGCAAGAGAGGGGAAATGGAGTTGGAAAGAAGGGGGGCAAGAGAGGGAATCGAGCGCGCGCGCACACCTGTCAGCACTGGAGCACACAAGCTCAGTGACTGGTCTGCGGTGACTGGTTCTGGCGCCGAACAGATCACACGAGGCCGCGAGTGGGCCGTCTGGGAGAGCTCACAAGACGGTCCGTAGCAAACCGGGCAGCAGGTCTGGGAGAACACAGTGGAAACCCAAAACTTGGTGACCGCTTGAGCTGACTGGTTGGCGCGTCCAGGAGGAGGAGGAGGAGGAGGAGGAGGAGGAGGAGGAGGAGAGGAGGCTGAGGAGGAGGAGGAGGAGGAGCAGGAGCAGGAGGAGAGAGGAGGAGAGGGGAGGGCCAAATGATGACACCTTGGAGGAGGGACGGTCGGGAACCTCTGAGAGCCGGCGGTGCCGGGGGCCGTTCCAGAGCGACCCGGAAGGCTCTGGGAACGCTGTGGGGCGCTCTGGGACGACTCAGCAGCAGCCTCAGACGAAGGGGAAAAAAGCACACGAGCATCAACTTTTGGCGCTGCGCGCAGATGTCTCGGATCCGCGCTGGGCCCCCCTCCCTGGCGCGCGGAGCGCGCCAGGGGCGGCGCCGGAGGCGCCGCCAGGGGCCCCCAGCGCGGATCCAAGAAACCCGCGCGGAGCGCCAAAAGTTTATGTTAATGTATGGTATTGTTTCTTCTTCGAATCCTGGGCGGGCTTGCCTGGAACACCCCTGTAGTATAATGTCCCGGCTTTCGCAGCAGCCGACCGCCTCGGCGACGTTCTGCGTCTGCGTCAAATTCGTGCAGTGTCCCTTACCATCGATGGTCACGACGATAACCCCGGCTGGCGCTATCGCCGGCATAGAGTCCACGAACTCCTGCAAGGAGGAGGGGAACATGGTATAATGTGTTGTATGCTTGGGGGCGAACAAAGCAGATGTGGAACATCACGCGCTTCGTTGCCGGATGACTGTGCCAGTAGCAACTGACAAAGACTTATACTCCTTGCCGCATATGGACGAGGAGGCGGCTGAGGAGGATGGAAGTCAGGAAGAAGGTGGAGCACGGTGGAGGCAGGATGCAGGATGAGATGGAGGACTAGGGGACCTTGGGGCATGGCAGACGGAGGAGGACAAAATATGGAGTTTGGCAAATGAGGAACGGAAGATGCAGCACGAAGGCCCATGAGCTCCTGCAGGGAAGCGAACAGGTTGCTGCACAGGCCGTACGCCAGGCTGAAGCTGGTCGTGGCGTGCGTGAAGACTGCGAGGTCGCCAGAGGCGGGCGGGAATCGCACTTTCAGCACCTGGCCGCTAAGACATCTAGTGACCGTGAGCCAGCACGAGCCCCAAACAGTGAATTATTGCGTTGTCCATGTGGAAGCTATTCTGCGTTAGCTATGGGTGCCAGCCATATTGTGTTAGCGATGTTGTGTGAGCTGCATGGTGTCATATGTATTGCGTAAGCAATGTGGTGGGAACTCTGTCGTGCAAGCTACACGGTGTGTCCCCTTGTGGTGTGTGCTGTGGTGTAAGCTGTGCGGCGTGAGCTATGTGTAAGTTATGCTTGCATTGCCGAACTTGTGGAACACGTTGGCAGAAGACGAGCTTCGCTGGCTGGCGACACACTCGGAATACAGTGGGGGCCCGTCCACAAGAGACCTTCCACAAGAAGCCCAACCCTGAGACCCCAGGTCGTCCATTGAGTTTTGGGTTGGGAACGTCGCGCTCTCCATCGCAAAACCATCGAAACCCAAGAAACCCAGAACACCCTGGATGCAAACAGGGTGTTTCTTGGCATGGGCTTCCACTGTATGCTTGAATGAACTTGAAACACGTGCAAACCCAATCTTCGCACACCATAATATTAAGGTACAAGAAACTTGGGATAAGTCCAGGTAGCCGTGAGAGACGTGAGTGCGCATCGCAAAACACACCTCTGACTCCCGCCGATCGGCTCGTATGGCGCAGTGCCGCCAGGGAGACCGGCCGCGCAGGTTCGGGGGAGAGAGGACAGTAGCATTCACTCCGACTGTGCAGCTGTGGAGGGGCGGCTGTAGAGATCAGCATTCGGATTGGCGGCATTGGAAGAAGTAGGCTCCACGAGCGCGAGAAAGCTAAACACACACGGCAGCGCCAATAGGCGTCGTGCCTGGGCTGGCCTCGGCCGCAAGACGGCAGAAGCAGGGTGGCGCCCCGTGCCGCGGGGGCCCCCAGCGAAGGCGAAAGGGGGGAGGAGGCAGAGGAGAGGAGCCAGGGGGGGGGGCCCTCGGGTCCTCGGGGCCGCCGGGCTGGAGGGGGGGGGGGCCTAACGGGACCCTCTCGGGCCCTTCCTGGCTCTCGGGGCCATCGGGCCCCCGAGGCCCCCGCCGGGGCCTTCTCGAACCAGAAGACAAACGACCCACTCACGGCCCCACGGGGCTCAGCGCATACCACGAGGTCAGGCGGGTTGCTATTTGGCGCGTGGTATGCGCTGCGGCGCCCGGTGGGTCGCACCGCAGCATGCAGAGCCGCAGCTGGGGTGGCGTCGCGTGTTCTGTGGTCGGCTCCTCGGCTCTCGGGACCCAGGCTCCGGACCCGAGCATCCCAGCGCCTGGAGTTAGGTCGGGCGTGTCCCCCCACAGGCGGATGTTGGACGACACATTGAAAGCGTGTCTCAACAGACTCCAGGATGATACAGCAAAACAAAACAAAAATTGAAAGAATCGCCCCCTGACATCCGTTTCCCTAGCTCTGGATACTCCCACTGCAGAGGGACGGGCCCGATGGAAGTAAGCCTGGAGGCGAACGCCCCCGAGGGCCCCGCGGGCCCTCCCAGGAGCTCGGGAGCCGCAGCGCGGGCCGCGCCGCAGGGGCCCTCCCGCGGCCCCGCGGGCCCTCCCGCGGCCCCTGGGCCCCCGATCCGTCCCTGGCCGGCTGCCCTCGGCTACACGCCAGGGACGCCATGAGATGAGGAGAGGCGCCATGAATGCGGAGGAAGTACTATGGACCACGCCACGATATCCCTCCCCCCCCCCCAGTCATCACCCCCCCCCTGCCGCCCCCGAGAACCCTCACGGGCCCGTTTCCTCAAGACCCGCTTGCTTCGGCAGGCGTAAGAGTGACCGTGGGTAGGAGTGACCTTTGGTGCGCAGCACTTTTTGGGGCCGCGGGGGACCAAACGCGAGCGCGCAAGACGCTGCTATCGCATCGGGTTCGGCGATTGGGGAACCCCAATGAGCCCGCACCAAAGGTCAGTCCGGCGAAGGGTCACTCTTACGTGTAATCGATGCCCTGCGATGTGCGTCTGCGGCCCCGGGACCTCTGGGCCGCGGGCGGTCACCGCAAGGGGGCGCGGGGGGGCCAGCGTGCAACGAAAAGAAGCACGCGCACGCCCGGACCTTGCTCGGCGCGCGCGAAAGTGAGGCACACTCAAGGCAAAATGAAAAACACAGCGTCAAGTCAACTTCAACGCAACAGTAGAACTCCAGTCCAAAAAGCATTCAACCGAAACCGCAAAGTGCAGACAAAGGCGCGCGATCACCGGGCAGCACCTGGGATCGCGCGCGCGGGATCGCGCGGCGATTTCCGGGAACCTCGGGGGCGAGCCTCCTGCTTCCTCCTCCTGCGCCTCCTCCTCCTCGTCCTCCTCCTCGTCCCGCACAAGGCACGATGCAGGCCTGGGCGGCTTCAGCATTTTATCAAAATTAACAACGAGAGATGTATGCTTGTAACCCGCCGCACAAGGAATCTTCTAAATGTATTCAACTCAAAAAAGAACCGTCGTCCACTCCACTTAACTGAATCGGACTACCTTACAACAAAACGGAATGCCCGTTTAATACGCAAGTTTTTTTGCGGCGGAGTACAACATGATTGCTTTGCGGGCGGGTACAAAATAATCACATGTGTGTCGGATTAAATAATACTTTTCCTTTGCAGTGGACTACGTAAGGATGCCCTGTGGCCGAATACAGAATGAATCCAATTGTGGCAGATTGCAACGGGATTCCCTTGGTGGCGGACTACAAAAACATGATTTTGACAGAATTGTCGCGATGACCCTCGGAGATTTGCCCGAAATCATGTTGTCATTGTTGTTTGTGTCTTTTTTATGAAAAAACTGGTTTCCCCCCATCCCCGCTCTCAATCGGAATCATTTTGCATTCCGCCTTAGAAAGAACACTTCTGCATTCCGCCACAAACAGATTCCATCTGCATCCCGCCACATAAGGACTCCCTTGGCAATCAACCACAGAAAGATTATTGTTGCACTCTGCCACAACATAAATCCAATAGTATTTCGTCACAAGCGGCATCCTTCAGTATTCTGCCACAAGGGAATTCTTTTGTATCCCGCCACAAAAAGAACACTTTTGTATCTGGCCACAAACGGATTCCCTGTGCATTCCGCCACAGACAGAATATCTTAGCATCCCACCGCAGAAGAAA